AACGAGAATTTATCGAAAACAAACGTATGTTCGCCTGTTTGTCTTCTGAACTTTTCAATGGGAATTTTCGAAAATATCTAGATATATTTGCCCGCTCGTAGAACCGTCAGAGTTCGTGGTTGTCGTCGGTTTTGCCCCTCATGTCAACTCCTGAATGGGAGGAATGGTTAGTGAGATACTTGTGAGTTTTATTATCCTAAGGGAGGAATGCGCAACTTTGACAGCACTTTCTCCCAGACCTGCTTATTTTTGATTGCAAAACTACGCCAAAACCACTGTTTGCAGACGTCATTTTAGTGGACGGCGAAGGATACAGCAACGCTTTCTACGCGGGCCACAACACGTCTTGTTTCCTTTTCCGCGGTCCACAGCACACCGAAACTCATTGGTGTAGACTCTCAGGTTAGGTTTCATCCGAGTTATCCCGCCAGACGACACGATATTTTCTGGTTTATTGGGTGTTCTGCAGATTGACCCGCTGCTGCCTTTCAAGTGAAAACTATATTGACTATATGCACACTGCTTCTTGCATACTAATTTACAAAACGCTCGATCCTAAAAATACCAAGCCGGGGACTACATATTCCCTATACTCATACATTATATTACGGAGCAGATAACACCAAAGTTCATGCTACGGATATTCGCGAGATACTGCAAAATGTATGCGCCAGTTTGGCTGTTGCAAAAGATGGTCACCACGCTGAGCTTCACAGCGTTATGGGCGCAGAGACTATGACTTGCGCGCGCATGAATTAGTTTACAGTGATAGCAGACTTGCGCATCATCTGAACGACTCTCTCCCCTCCATCACCCGCCTGGGCCTGGTGCCGGGTCAGTCTAGACGACCGAAGGTAGTCACTGATAGAAATAAATAGACCGTCTACGCGAACCGCACACAAGCTGGTTCGCGCACGATGACAAGGTTTTCACGCAAACCAACCCGTGTAATACTGTTAGAGTGGCAGTGCGATAGGGGACGAGGAACATTACGAATGGGCCATTGCAGCCTTTACTTTCAGTCCAGGAGTTACTCGCATGCGGGGCAGACCGGTTAGTCTGTTGCGCTAGACTGTCGCGGGGGTGGTCTGAGACCCCCACTGAGTCTACCTCACTCGCTTTATCCTTCCCCTTGCACCAGGCAACCTTTCAAGCCTGCCAGTCAGTTGGCGCTGAAATGGGGCATCATGACTCGCAAGAACAATAAGTTCTCAAACTAGGCAGCCTCGAAGTCCTCCATCTGGCAGACAATCCAGTGTAGGGAGTTTGACTCCATCTGACCGCACAGAGACTTCAATTGTGCAGGTTCCTCTTCTCCTTGTAGTCTGTATTGAGAACGAAGTCACGGCTTATTAAATTTATGGCTTAGGACTTTTATTGGCTCGCGGACATAAATCCCTCACGAAAACAAGCACTTTTGCAGATGCGCTGAATCAAAATGGGGATCAGACTGCCTCTAGCTACGCGCTTACCGGACTGCGTTGATTTCGGGCCAACCGATAACTATCGTTAGCAATGTGTATGTCACACGCCACGTTAGCATAACCGTCATATCTCACAGTCGCGTGGAAGAGAGTGGAAAACAGAGTGAAATCGGTATGGGAGAACCCATCGTCAAGTAAAAAACAGCGCACTACTCATTGTAACAAACCTGACGCGTTTGGATCCACCATGATCTACTAACAGCCACGGAGCTCCGAAGGCTGCCAGCTGATGGGATAACGTATTTCTTCTGAGAATCATGTTGATCGGGCTGCAATGGTTCCGTCTTGCTCTTTCCATTCTGGCCTGCTCGCCCATGAAAACTCGGGGGTGGCTTCTATTGCAATCCCATAGAACCGAGATGGTGAACAGATCGGGTGCGTGGCACGCGTAGATGCATCTTATAGGCGCGCTGGCTGCCGCGCCCGTGCCCGCTTCTGGTCGCCCTGGTATTATCCTGTCATTGAAACAAGACAGTTGAGCGAAGAGAGTGTGCGGTAGATGCAGCGTAAGTCCCCGACGCTGCACCCACGTCATCGTCACTTGCGATGTTTGAATTTTCGTCGTCTATTCTGTCTTTGTGTGCGAAAGTTAAAAAACTCCAACTCATATTCCGTTGGTAAGTGTTTTCTTGTATTTTTGGCTTTCCAGAATTTCAAACAACCGGACATTTTTTTCCTTGGAAACCACAGTTTAAATTAATTCATTAATTAAACCTTAGGCACGGAAGCATACGTAAATTAATCTACCACGAAACGTTACTCAATGTTTTTAACAACACGGAGTCACAAATAAATAAATATGCAGTTTACAATGGCAGTCCAGTCTACCTTTACCAGTTCTTCCACCACGCTTTTCTGCTCAACTAAGCCCGACCGCAGGCCTCAACTCACGTCTGTACAGGGTGGTGTCTTCCCAAGGCTGATTTGAATGTAGAGTGTGTCATTGCGCAGGTAGGCAGATGGTTTCCCCATTTTGGTGCAGAAGAGTGATCGTAATCCCAGATCTGGCAGGCCCCATCCGATCTGCTTTTCGCACTCCCCAGCTTTTGGCCGATCCCAGATGCCTTTCTCGTCTGAGTCACAGGGGTAGGGCCGGAGTACTCGGACAATGTGGTTGGCACAACCGGTTTGATCCAGGATCGAAAAGTATACATCGCGATCGAAAGGCCATTGCAGGCAGGCATCATAATCACCGCATATTAGCCTTATATAGGCACCGAACATGTAGGTGGAGAACTCGATTTTGGCCTGCATTCGATAGCCTGGCTGACCCAGGTAGAAGGGTTCGCACCAGTCACCGCAGCATTTCTCCTCAATATCAGCGAAATTATCCACCCGCCAGATGAACCAGTTGCAGTCCAGTGGCGGAGAACCTTCGTGACCTCCGCATGGCGTTGGGGAACTTGGCGCTGGGGATGGGACCCTAAGAGAGGGAGGAGCCTGTGGAATCGCAGTATCACAAGGTGACGGAGATGGCGACCTCACCTGCGATGCCTGTGACACCGTGGGACAGGG